GCAAGACAGTGAACTAAGCTGGACCATTTGGCGGTCCACCAAAAGGCCTAAGCATGAGAAGTAAAACAGCATCCAAAAAGGTAATAATATTGTTGTTGTTTCTTTCTTCCTCCTACACCCAGTATTAGGGTGGCTCATACTAAGTACTGCTTTGAGCTGGCATCCACACTTATGGAAGGACATGAAGAAAACTTTCAGAAAACAACCTGAAAAAATTACATTGGGATAATCCATGTTATTACAAAGACGCTAACAAATCCTGTTTCTTTCCAAAAGAGAAAAAAATATGATCCCCATGTAGCTCCCTGGGAAAAAAAAAAAATCAGATTTATATCTGGTGGCAACAGCTAGCCAAGTTCACAGTAGCAATAAGAGAAAAATCAGCCACGCGTTAATTAATGAAGATTACCTAAGGATGGGAAGGTTTCTCTATGGCTAAAAGGATTTAAACCAGTAACAGATGGCCTTGTAAAACCACTAATTCATCCAGACATTGAATACAAAATTAAGACATAACATTGTTATGCTTGCCAAAAACATTCATAATGACTGTAATCTAAGTTACAACAATAAAGTTAAAATCTTGCTTTCCAGGTCAGTTTTGAAGTTTGTATAAAGTGTTTACTGGAATAAAACAAAAAATCTAACCTATTGCTAAACATAAATGTGAAGTTACTCATGTGTGCATTTTTAAAATAGAAATATTCCAGATATTTAAAATGTCTCCCTAAAGGCTTATTGCTACTTGCTACATAGAGAGGCCAGAGACCTTTATCTAATAAAAAGATAAGATAATGCTGTCTGTAATAAATTATGTCTGTTTTCCACCTATCACTACTTAAAGTTTGTACTAGTAAATTCTATAAGCCCTTGAGGATAAAGAAATACTGGTTTACATTTTAACTGGAATGTAAATAAGCAGCCATCCTATTCAGAAAACAATCACATTTTGATATATCTGGTAAAATACATGATTTTATGACATAATAGTGCAAACTGCAATGCCTCATTTAGAGAACAAATGCATTATTCTGGTGAAGTATTGCAGAATTAGTTTCCCTTTCTAAGTACTGATATTATAACATTGTGGTTTGATATGAGATATGCTTTGTGGTACATGAAAAATCCCTACAGGTCACATCATGCAGCACCTGAAAACACCTGTACATTCAGGGGTACCACAATAACAAATAGTTATTACGCCACTGGGTTTTAATTTAGCTTATATCCTACTAAAAAAAAAACCCAAAAAACCAAAACTACAAAAGACTGTTCTATGTTAAAAGACCTCTTCCACTTTAATGGATCTCTTTATTTAAACATGTTTATAGTTGAATACATCATCAAAGCAAATCTCAAAAGAAAACAACCCAAAACCCCAGAAATTCTTCAAGTCATGTTTTAAGGCAGCACTCTGAACAGTAGTATTCAATGGTTCCTCTATTTATGCTCAGTTTGACTACGACACTAAACAAAACTGAGGAAGGGTTAGGCACGTAAAAATTATACATAAAAAAGAGATTTAGATTCAGAGCTAGTACATTGCTTTCTTGCAAACATTTCAAGTAACAACTCAAACCCGCTCATGGTTCGATTTTTTCTGATCAAGCATTTACAAGCTTGAACAGGTGTACTATAGAAATCCAGTCACCCTGATGAATTAAAAATGGCCTGCAGTGCCTTTAGAATTGTTGCATACATTAATGATGGCTGCATCTTTTTAAATCCCCTTCTACTGTAAACCATAATTTTTAGGTTGGATAGCACTGGTACTAACATGTTGCTTTACTTTTGACTTTTAAAATTGGGCAGATACCAAGATTCAAGAAAACATCAACCAAAAATGTGAAAAATAGAAAATAGTGCAAGCTATACAACCTCTTTCAGTTACAACAACCAAGTCATAAACATGCTCCATTTCTGGTTGTTTATCAATGCTAAGAAAAAAAAAAATTCACATGAATCGGCAGCTGTGGAACTGCTTATGATAATCCACATATAATGACAGCTGTATCTAGCTAACTGTTTCAGCTCTAAAACCACTCATGCACTTTTCTGATACATTTTATTTATGCTCTGCCCAGAAAAGTCACTACACACATTATAATATGTATTACGAAAAATATTAATGTGTCTGAAGCAAGGAGAAAAAACATACATTGTTGGAAATTTCAAAGAAGAATCTGTGAACACTATTTCCACAGGCAGTTTGACGTTAATCTCTGAAGTCTCATGTTAAAATTAATTGCAGGGGTTGGACAAATCAGCATCATGTGGCTTTTCAGAAAAACTGCAAACTTGATAAAAACTCGGTCCAATGAAACTATGCCAGCCCTGTTCCAGCTAACACCGATTCTGTTTACCTGCTGAAGCAAGACAAATTGTCTGCATAGACCTTTTATTTGTTCTGCTCCACGTGCATCATCTTCAACACTGAGCTACTTCAGTATGCTCACCAGCTGTTTTTTAAGTTCTACCCCCTTCAGAAGATCCAGAGACCATAATTACACGTGAAAAAATGATGCCTTCTTTTCACCTATCCTCATGATCTCTCCTGCTTCCAAGAAAAGGATCTATCAACATGTCAAACCTGTCTTTCCATAGTGAGGAGCAAGGGAAAAGGTTCCCTTTATTTCCGTGACCCCAAGCCACTCAACCTCCTCAAGCAAGAGCAAAACATCTGCTCTTCCTTGCATTCTGCCCCCCTGCCAACCTGGACTCTCGCTTCCCTAAAGGCTGTCGTTTGCTGCAAGCCTTATAAATGGGACTAATTAGGATCCTAGTTGCCCATTAACTCTTTTATTATTCATGTGACGTTTATGATAAATGCATTCTATTACTTACAAATGGTTGAGGTGGCACTTACACACCGCAGCATAAACTTCAGAGTCATGAGAGAAACCATTTAACAGTAAGACTGACTGACTACACCAGCTAGGACAACCACTTGCTGGAATGTATAGTATATTTAACTCTTCTCAGTTTAACGCAAGAAATAAAGTAGCTTGGCATTCCTAGAAGGGCAGGTGGACCAGTCAGTTATATTTCAACAGTAGTATCTTTTGCATCAATGAAAATATCTTCAAAGATGGCTTTCTATAGCTGGAGAGTATGATGCACTGCACATGTAGTTCATAAAACATAAAAAAACCCACCCCCGACTTTCTCCAACAAAAAAAAACCCAAGTCTTCCACAACAGCAAAGTTGTGGTTTCTCAGGTTTACCATATCCTCTTAATTAAGTTGCAAAATTCAAAGCAGAATAACCCCGATGAACATAAACTACAGAGAAATGCATTTAATTTGCATGTAACAACTGCTTCTTCCAGAATTACTTACGAATAAGCTGGACTGTGTATAGTATGGATTAATGTCCTGATTCAGCAATGCATGTGCATATTTAACTGCTCTTCTCAGCTAAGGCTGGGAGCAAATTGACTGGACATTTAATTATAACTCTTCTTTCATTTGCCAGAAAACCAGTAAAGCTTTGTGCAGGGTCAGTTATCCCAGACTCTTTGCATCCTTTCAGAGCTCTTAAAAAAATCCATATGCACAGTTATAATTCTGGAATCCTCCCCATTAAATGACACATTATTCACCATCAAATCTATCTGTGAAATCAGCCAGTACACGCTATTCATACTTTCTATAGATTAAAAGCCTAACAAGAAATCAACTTCTAAAAAAAAAAAAAAAAAGCATTGTTTAAGAAACCCCACCTAATGTCGATATCCATAGTTTTGGAAGCATCCTGGCTCAGATTACATTCAGTACAGTCTGTAAGCTATTGTTTTACAGTTTCTTAAATGCTTGTTCTCAAGTAAACCAACCATAAAAAAAAAATGTGCTTTGAAGGCACACATAAAAATGCACACCTATTTACTTTAGAAGTCTGCAAATCCTGTTCTTTCATTGCTACAATGTGAAGAAGCAGTGCAACTATTTAAATTCAATCACCATGGGAGTTCAATGCACACAAGAAATAAAAGCTGCATATGATATCCTCTCCCAAATGTAAAGACCAGCTCTGCAGAAATAAATGTTGTAGCACCAGTAAATACTTTAACAAAACACCTAAGCACCTGAAGAAGAAAAAATAAAACAACAAAACCATATAATAATTAAAAAAAAACGAAACCAAAATAAACCAAGCCAAAAAAAAACCCCACCAAACCAAAATAAACCAAAATAAAATAAAATAAAATAATCTTACAGACGAGACTTGGTAATTTTATCCTGAAAGACCTCTTTTCAAATACTTAGTTTCACAGAATCACAGCATAACTTTGTTGGTTTGCTGGTCATGAAAAGGTTGTGGGAAAAACGGCAAGAAAATCCCAAATTGTGATTTTGTTGCAAACCACCCAGTAACACGAAAAAGTTCCAACTATTTCAACAAACCTAAAATGCCAACCCAAATTCCTCCGAAATATAAAATGTTAAGACAGTTTTGGAATGAAGAGATTATTTAAATGTAGCCTTTTTATAAATTCATTTATAATGCAATAACATTCATAGCTTCTTTTTTGTATGATTGTATTTACACTGCACTGTTGGAAATATTTAATCTCAAGCCAACGTAATTTACTTTATTCTCCATGGTTTCTAAACAGCAGTAGACCACTGATATTTCTGATTTTAGAAATAGTTGTATAAAAGGTCATCAATTTTGATGACACTGTAAAAATATTTAGAAGACCACAGGATTGATAGCCTACCATAAACATTGACATTAATCCAAATTTCAATTCAATAATGTAAAGAAGAATAAAAATTCCCGAATTTCTCTGACAGTGTACTCCCAAATGACAAAAAGAACAAATAGAAAATTCCCAGCCAACGTGAACATCGTTCTTTTTCACTGCTTTCCTAAATGCTGCATGAGATTTAAAAATAGATTAACAATGAAGGACATTCTTGGTGTTAGTCCAGCGAACCTGCTGCTCAGAAGCATACCCTCTTTTCCAAAGTAAATTCTACAAAGGGAGCATTGTTCTTTCCCCACCTGAGAATCAAATTTCAGGATCTCCTACCTCGATCAAAAAGTCTCCAGTTCTCAGGCCAGCTTGCCATGCTACTCCACCTTCATCCACAGATTCCAAGTACTGCAAAGCAGGAAAGGCTGGAGTTGGGGTGAATTCTTCAATTGGTGTGTCAGCTTTAAAAATAAATACCACATGAAAAAAAGAAAGTTATGGAGTGCTCGCATTTACCACTTGACTAAAGGCCTGTTAATGGCCATTCAAATTCCTGGTTAAAAAATGGTGGGTGCTAAAAGTCAGAGGACTCTTGCTTCCAAGGGCATGAAGAAGCTGGGAAGAGAGTGTGATCCCTCTGCCACAGCAATCCACAGGTCTTCAGTCCAGAGAGAAAAATACACGCTCCTTTACTGACACAAACCACATCAAGCTGCATGAGGCAAGAGCTGGATCCTGAGTATTCCAGGATATTCAGTATTAGTCCCAGTAACACTTCTGTATGCCTAGCAAAATGCTTAAAACTCTGGAAACGTCCAACCGACAACGAACTGTGGCCAGAAGAGAGCATCTGGCCTAACTGAGGGGATGGGGTTGAGGGGGGGACAGGGTGAAAAAGATCAAATTCTTCTTCTAGATTTAGACGCATATTACAAAGAAGATAATGAAAGCAATCACTTTTTAGGAAAGGAGGCACAGCCCTGAAACAGCTCGCTCGCTCACGCACACTTCCCAGCAGAGAAGCCCTGGGATCTTTCACCTGAGGTGCCCTCACTGCTACAGAGAAAACCTGGGGACAGTTGGTGGTCTGACTGAGGGGGAGTAACCTCCGCTTGATGCACGGACAACTCACGCCAATGGCTTCGCTAAAAGGTAGGGCTGTTGGCTTCCCTAGTAGTACTCCAAACATTTTTATTTAGCAAAAACTAGAAAAGCTTTTACAACGCTGAAAATCTATGGTGGCACTGCTTTTACGGGTGGGGAACGTGGGGAACAAAAATGATGTCCCAGGAATGAAGATATGAAATAATTTTCATGCTGAAGCAAGCCAAGGGAGAACCCATGTAAAATGAGGGGGAGCAAGGGATGGGACATACCATAATGTATTTTTTTAAAAAATACAAAAGAAGCAAACTGGACTGAAAGTTAAAAAGCAAAGCATTAAATACAATGCTTTTTTTAACTCTTAAGAATGCCGTTGTTACAGATTTTAGTCTACAGAAAAGTAACATGTAGTTTAACATATGAACAGCTTTTAAAATGAGCACACTACAGGCCATGCAACATACATGCAGCTTCTGAAGACACGAAAAAAGATCATATTTTCATACTAAAACTGCACCAATGTCACCTTGCAGCAGATCCACACCTATTTTAAACAAAACATCACTCTCTTTTCTACTTCTATTCATAGACCTATTTAAATAGGCTGACATTTGAAATAAAGAAGCAGGTTTTATAAGGAAAGCAGGTTTCCCATAGTTAGGTAAACTGCATAACAAAACAGATTAATGACAAAATATTACATACACTAACACAATAAAAATACAGACAGAACTTTCTCCCCCTGAAACAATTATACAGTGCTTCTCCTATGTAAAAATGCAAACTGCTTCAGACAGAAGCCACTAAAATCTGCCTAAGTAGTACAGCATACAGAGAATCCTGTTGTCTAGCAACCAAGTGCACCAAGAATAATTCCTGCTTATATTCAGAGATGTATAAATTTCTTCATGCCAGTGCACATCACACACAAACACACACAGAAACACATACCTTTTGCCCCTCTGAGCACAAATCCAAATCCTTCATTGTCTTTTTTCTGCAGGACCACTGCCTTTTCTTCTATTATGCAGTCACTGTAGAGAGAATTCCGAGGATAGCGACCATTATTACATCCCTTCATCACCACTGTAGTAGCTGCTCCTCCAGTGTGCAGGTTCATCATCATCACAGCCCGTTAATCAAATAATATTGCAGTAACCAAGCATGGGAAAATATAGAACAAATAGCAGCGAGGGGAAGACAAAGACTAAGCTTGATGATAAAAGAGAACATGACAAAGCAACTTAAAGGGAATAAAAAAGGCAGAGAGGAAAAAGAAAGAAGAAGAAATCATGCATGGTGGTTTGTGTTCTATATGAATGACTGAATGAACATGTGATCATGTAATCTGTGGGCTAGCTAGGACTCTAAAAGGAAAAAAAGTAAGTGAACTGAACGACAGTATCATTAATAAACTCCTCAATCGTGGATGTACCAGATGCATCTTCTAGTGAAGCCAAAATGAAACCAACCAGAAGAAAAATGAGGCAGCATTTTAAATTTAAAGATAATAAATTATGATTTTATATCAGCTAACTAAAAGGCACAAATATATTCTGAAAGCTATGCCTTGCATCAAAAGCCCTTTTTCAATCCTATTGAATGTTGCATGCTGCAAGAATCCCACATGATCATCTGACAGCCTACAATGCTAACAACGTGCAGCTGCCTTGGCGTCATCAAGCACAAATTTCCACAGCATCAAGAATCTGCATAATTGAAATAGTAACAGGGCATGCATAATCAGGAAAACACATTTCTCAGGATTATATCCCATCTTCTAATAGACAAATAATATTATAAAACAAGGAGATGGTGTAAAGGACTATTTATGTAAGCAATCTGTCCTTAAAGAGAAAGTAGCCTTAGGAATCTTACTGTCATTGGCTAAGAAAAAAGTAGACAGTAGATGAAAAAAATGCATAAAATCCACATTAAAATGGGACATTTCATATACAGGGAATGATCTGTAAAAGCTCTAAGTTGTTTAGTGTCTTTCACTAAGCATTAGATTATTAAAAATAAGCTCAAAGTAAAAAAGGAAAAAAAAAAGATTCTGAATGTCCTCTTAAGTATAAAACCATTACACAGCACAAGTTGCAAGACATTCTTCTAAATAAAGACAGTGTCAGGGGTTAAGTATTCATGAATTGTAAGCACTGCAAAACACAGGTTGGCTCTAAAACACCTGCAAAAACATTTAGGATAGAAAGAAGTATGTGCAAGTTGTCTATTCTTAATTTTTCCACTAGCCAACTACTGTTACTACTGGTCTCGTTCAGAGTCCAGTCACTAACGCACTCCATACAATAACAGAGATCTGCTCCAGTGCCATTAATTATCCGGAAGGGAGGAGGAAACTGATTAAGGAAAAAATGGGGTGACCTTTTATTTAAAGCTCTGAACAAAGAGAAGGATGATGACATCAGGACACCAATGGACAGCCTCCAAAATCCACATCTTTCGTATATCATAGACCATCCTTTTGGTGACTTTCCAACTCTAACTGAGGGATGCAACTTCATGTTACTGCTGAAGTGATGATGTAATTATGTTTTACAGACTACGGAGTATTTAAACATCACACGTGAATTAAAACTACCACAATGGTGACTTCTGGAGATGATCTCCAGAAGTATCAAGAACAGAATACTGTCTTTCAATTTACCATTATTTACTGAATAATTCAGACATTACCTTTTCTAACAATTAGCACCCCTGCTATGGGAAGTATGTAGTAAGAAATTGTGTATTTCTTGAGAAAGCTAAACACATTCCTCTTCAGGGATAACAGGGTGGGATGGAATATGCAACCCTCAGAGCCCACACTGGAGCGCTGAAGCCCCCCATGAAATGTCTTAATATTATAGAAACTAACTGGACCTACAAGCATACTGGCTTACTGTCTTCATTTCACCACTCACATTTTCAAGGTGGGGCTCCATACTTATCCACGGAAGCGTCAACAGTAAAGCTGTCTCCAGCCTTTTTCTTAACAGACGGACAAATGAATAAAACCCATTTCCCTCAAGTTTCCTTGTAAGCAATCAACAGCTTAATAGAAGATAGAAGCTACTTTTGAAAAACCTAATCATAGAGGTGTTTGGTTCAAAAATCAACCCTCCTCTCCTCTAGCCAAATCCCACTGTCATCTCAATTCATTAATATAAAGAATTCAGAAGCCTATTAGCTAGGTACCTCATCTAACCTTGTTCTGATTCTTTAATTTCATCTGACAAAACCAAACAAATTCAAAACATCATTCCTTAAAAAGCTGAAGGCTGAAGTTCCAAAAGCAGTGCTCAGAAAACTCAGGATCAATTCACTTGATCAACATCAGGCATCTACACCTAAACCAAAAAGCATCTAGCGTCCTTTCACAATCATGAAATGAAACAGACAGGCATTTTCAAGTTCTGCTCGCCTAATGTGGAGGTCTACGTTCAGATTAAAACTATGATTTTCTTTTCACATACAGCACATCTTTTGCATAAACTACCCGGTTTTATACTTCAATTCAGGCACTGAAAGCAAGAATACTAAATTGCCAAAATTTTATGAAGAAGTTCTGTGTTTTAGTTGCAAGGGGGAGGGGAAAGGGAAGGAGAAGCACAACATGAGTTTTAGTAACAAAATTTACAAACTGATCTCTATTACTTGCCAAACACAGCTTACTAATATACTGTTTCAGGTAAGTATTATGTTAGGAAAATTCCACCACAGCCTGTAAAGCCAAAATACAGGTTTGAAAAAATGTGTAGCCATTTCTTCCCGTTTATGTATTAGGAGAAAGGGACAATAATCTTATGGCATGAGCAGTTTACATGCGTTTAGAGCAATCACAGAAAGCAAACTGATTCCCTAAAATAAGAACTCATGGCAGGGAAAGCATGGAAAACAAACATGCCTACAGAAACGAACTTAACGTGTAACCTCCAAACCCCTTCTCCCAGCAAACTCACTCTGCACCCGCGAGAGCAGGAGCAAAAGAGAGGAGAAGTTGTTTAACCTCTGACTGTTTACAGGTTGGTTGGTTTGTTTGTTTTCTTTGCCACGCTAAGGTTCTCTTATCTCAGTGTCAGACTGGACCCCTTCACTGAAGACATGCTGAAGATCTGTTCACAGTCTACCTGGTCTTGGCAGGCAAAGAGGTGACATATATAAAAGTAGGTCAAAATTTCTCCCCATGAGCCTTCTTGGCAGCATTTCTTTGATCCTGAAGGTGCTGTAAATACTCAGCAACAGAACGCACCTCGGGTATAGCTACCAGCGACAAACAAAGGCGACGTTACGCTACAAGCCTGTTCAGACGTCTGAGCTCAAGCAAGAGGAAGAGGCATTTCTTCACAGATGCTTTGAGACCAGTGAACAGTTGTACATGAGGCTGAGCAGTCCCTGCTATCTGTGATATGCCAAAATTCAGTAGGTAAAATCCTTAACGTCCATTTCTGTCCCATCTCAAACTGAAATTAAGCTATTTCAGAGACGAGTTTTCAGAATACTACTTCATGAAGTACAATCTTGAATGTAAAAACTTTAGGCCAAAAAAAGAAGTGAATCTAAAATCACTTTTACTTTATCCAAATACTAAATATTAGTAAACAGCAGTTCATGTAGCTTCCCTAATACTTTAAGTCTCAAGAATTGTGCAGAATTATTAGAATTTCCATAATTCTACAGATATACCAATGGAGAAAGGGAAATGAAGAGATTTTACCCATGGTCAGAGAGACACCTGAGATTAGAACTCAGCACTGTTATGTTCAACATAACAACCATCATTTGTGTAGGCTTTTCAAGACAGAAAGAATTTCTACTTCGCTAGTAGACCATTAAGACTATACTTAAGGAAGGAGGCAAAAATGTCAAGTCCGTCATAACGACCTGTATGAAGAAAATAAAGATTGAAGCACAGGCTCCTGATGGATGCAAAACTGTGAAACCTAGCTTCCATTTCCCAACTAGAATAACTACACCCTATCTTAAAGCACGTCTTGCTCCAAAAGCCAAAATACTGAATTACAGAGATGGAAACTATCAGGACCATAGAGTATGTTGAGGCAAGTTTGTATCACATGTATCATTGCTGATTTCAAACTGAAAACACGCCACTGGAAATGATCATCCTTATCTGGAAATGAATATGCCTATTTTGTATATTGTCAATCTCTCTTTAAGGCAGAGAAAAACTGAATTTAAATAGGAGTTATTATTCAGATTCTCTCCCATTGTGCATCCCCCAGAAACGTAATCCACATCTAAGCTTTTCAGCTTTAACACACTCCCAAGGCAGAGAAGTTACTTATGGATCACACATGAGATTCAAACAATCAGAATTACAACCAAGTGAGTAGCTGCCTCAGCCCACAAGCCCTTCCATTGGATGGCTTTCTCCGTCCTTGAGTGAGAAGTCATTTTCTCCAAGTTTACTTCTTTCAGTTGGCTAAGTAAATCCAAATCTCTCCATCAGGCCTTTTTATGTCCTTTCCTCAGTACTCCTGCAATTTCAATCTTTTTGAAAGACCTACTGAATTCACAACTAGCTACCCGTTAGAAGGATCAAATCACAGTCCAACAATAAATGAAACCCCTTTCTTTTACTTTGCCAGGTGCAATAAACCAGTATCTAAACCATTCCATACATTTATAAGCAATGTCTGCAAGCAGTTGCACTAATCTCTTTCAGGTTAAGATACTCAATTTATGGTGGTTACATTCAAGCCTATAGAAGGGCATTCTGGAAATCCATTCAAGAGGTCTTCACTACACATCCTGACAGCTGATCCCTGTTAAAAGCACATAAAGAGTGTTCTCTCCAAACATTTTCCTTTTTTGGGGAATTTATCTGTCTTGATATCGTATAAAACAGGAATTTTATCTACAGAAAATCTTGTAAGATATAACAGACTTCCAGTGGAAAAACTCTTTCTGTCATTGCTGGAAAGGGTCAACCTTACTATTTACAGCCATCTACTGTAATAACTCCTAGAAAATGAGATAATCCTAGTAATGAAGGCCTTCAAGATTAATGAAGACCCTGTATGTGATTGCTCAAGGTTCCCAGGCATTGATTATCCAGCTGTAGGTCTTACAGAAGAGCTTTCACAGGTCTTGGGTAACATGTGGAACAGCAATCATCTGTTCAAGACATAGTAGCTACACCAGTGAGTGTGGGCCTTTGCACAGCAAACAGGAAAATATACAGATGGGTCCCTACCTAACCCACTTACAAACCAAACAGAAACAGCAAGATGTAGTCAACCATATATTCAAACTCACAGTAACCCCTATGCAATATGTGGCTGCCCCGTGCAGAGATTCCCTCACGTGATGATGTCTGTCATTGCACTGCAATGCAATTTGTTGTAAGAAAGTGCTGGTTTGGCAAATACATGATATACCTTTGCATAACAACAGGTTATTATGCTCACAAATAATTCACAACCCAGTACTACTGTCTTTGATATATAGTTTCTCATGATGACGTCTTAAATAAATAGTAATGATTTCCAGCTATTTTGGTGAAACACGCTTTACCATTCTTCAGAACATGTGTTTATTTTCTACACTTTGCTTTTTTCAACTACTTTTTCCCACCTTCTAGCAAAGCTTTCTATAAGCACAATATACTGTTACAGGAGATATTCAATAAAAATAGAATTATATGTTTTGTCCTGCCTTGTATCAAAAACATGCATAGTGCTT